CAAAACTCTGGAAAGCTGCATTTTCCATGGATCATGTACAGCTTAATCCTATTGTACACAAGACAGAACAAATTGCCCTGACGGCAGTGATGCAAAGAACACTTTATTGGAACAAAAGTTTACAGACAAGTCGTTACTTTTTTCTCGAGTCTTCCAAGTTTTTTTGTTATGATTAGATGTGTGGGACTTTTATTTGGAAACCAGTTACTGGCAAATTTCCTAAATATGCAATGATAAAATAATTATCTATCTGGTGCATTTCTTACCAAAGAATACATTACACACATGTTTGGTCATCACATGGGGTACAGTTGCTCTTATAGCACTGTTAAACAATAAACATGTTCTGGACTTTGTGTAGGAAGGCATGTTATAATCATTAAATATAGTTTAGTTAGTTTTGGGCATGGTTAAAAAATTCTTACCTATAAGCATAATGGGAAGTATAATATTGTTGACAATTTATATTAGACATATGGGCGTAACTGTGTATCTCCTGGTTAATGGTCGTAACTTCACATTTTATGACTCAGTTCCTCTGATGAAGCTGTAACAATGTAAAGTGTATAAATAGTAGCAGTTAGCCACATCCAATTGGATATTTACTGTAATGTAATGCTCAGGAAGTTTCTCTGTTCAGTGGCTTCCTCAGTTGTCAGCAACTTACCACAGGATTTAAACCCAATCACCATGGAATGTCGAAAAGCAGGTGTTGATTGTCTAAACACAAGGTGGGAGGTGGTAAAGAATAAAGGGACATTATTTGGAGGACAGCTAGGTGCACATTTTCGACAAAGAGGACTACTAGTTAGCAAGAGGGGTAAAGATGGGTTCACATTATATGTGTTGGGGCTGCACTGGCTGTTGTTTCCAGCACAGCCCCAATGCAAGACAAGGCATTTTGACTTATCGCAGATTAGCTTGGTTACCATCACGGGCATTGTGGTGATGTGCACTGAAAAAAAGTACAGCATGCCATACTTTTTTCAGCACAGCAAGATGTAATGCAGTACCACAACCTCGCACCCTGATGTGCCCGTAGAACCTAATGACTTGACATTTCAATAAAGTTCTAAAATAAATAAAAGTACACAGTGCAATGTCCCATGATCGGCACGGGTAGGCACCGCACACCAGCTGCTGTGCATTTTGCACAGTGTGAATATGACAAGTGGACAAGTGTTATTATTAAATAATGTAATTTGAAATTGAGATCTGTCCCAGAAATCGTGGCCTATGATTGGATTATATTGGACTAAAGTGACTCAAAATGTTACAGTTGCCACCAGAACAGAGCTTTCCGCTTACCTTCTGTTGCATCTGCAGGATAGGAAGTGTAGGAAAATTTTCGAAACAGGACGCAAACCGACAAATGGATTCAACCCTGGGGTAAGCAACTTCAGCAATCCAGCTATTGCAAAATACAAGTTCCATGAGGCATTGCTAAACTCTGACAGCCAAAGGCAAAGGCATAATGGGATTGGTCATTTCTCCACAGCCGAAGTGCTGAGGTTATTATTATTATACAGGATTTATATAGCGCCAACAGCGCTTCACAATATAAGGAAGACATTACAGGTTGCTAATATATCCATTCTCTACTCTATCCAAAACTAAAAATTAAACTTTGCTATGCATACACATTTAAGTGTTTGGAATGGCTCAAAGAGGCCCATGTTAAAAATCACACGACTTTTCCACATTGAAGGTCCAGCACCTTGGGTGCCCAAAACCAATCTACTGTCATATGACACATGCAAGATGAAAGGTTTGTTTCCTTTTTATGTTTAAAAATCTCCCTGTATAATAATGAACAATTTACAAATACTCATTATAACTCACCAATTAGCCTATACATAGTGCTGTTATTAAAATGAGTGTTATAATCAGATGTGTATGGTAGGTAGGTAGATGTCTGCCTATACTCAATCAGATAGGAGTTCGATCTCACCTCCCTCTTTTCCACACACATATATATAT